AGGTTCTAGGAGCCATCTGTAGCCAGGACCCGCAGGACCCCCAGATAAACATGAAGTGTGTCTACGTGAAGCTGCACATCTCGGGGGTCGACTCAGTCAAGGCCTTTGGCATGCCTGGCACTTGCACCACTTCGGGCCTACCCAAAGCTTGCAGCATCCCGTGGCACTGAGAGTCGACATTCAGGTACCCCGCAAACACAACTTTGAAGAAACCCTGGGTATTTCAACCCTGGACAATCTGGGAATTGAAGCTGCCTATGTCCAAAAGAAGCTTTTGCGAATCGTGTCTGTCCAAACTGTAAACATCCACATGAGTTGTCGCCCTTTTAAAAGGCACAGAGCGTCACTCAGGTCCCAAAAGCAGTTTGACAAGCCTCACAGGAAGGGGACCTATACAAATCATGAGTTGGGTTTCCCTTTAGCCACCCTCTTTGAAGGCCCTGCGACTTTGCACACCCTCAATTGTGCGGGCGCTTCCATGTTGGTTGACTCTCCAAATGGGATCAGGAATCCACCAAGTCAAGATGTGCATGTCCCCTCTGGACTGCTTTTTGCAACCACCCAACAACTCAACAAAAAAAGAAGGATCTCCAAAAACGACACTCCTGCATACTCGCAGGTGGGGCGCGCTGACTTGCGCGCGCATTCGTGAGCAAAGTCGGTTTCTGGGGACCCCGGCGGCTCCCGGAGGTGGACGTGTGGAGGAGCTGGCAGCATTTTAGCGGCATGTGGGGGGCAATGCGCAGCTTGTCTCCAATTTGTGGCTGGATTGGTCTCACTTTCCTCACGATCTAGGACCCAAACTGCCAACCGAACCATCAACTATGAGGTTACCTAAATTCTGGATGGTTGCAAAATCCACATGGCGCGCCAACATGGATGGATAAAACCCGACTTGAGCAGTGGTTGAGACATTACCTGGTGCCTGATTTCGTCGGTCAGGAAGCATGTGGCTTTACAAGGGTGTGGCCAAGGGCCGTCTTATAAAAGAGTGAGCATGGGGGGGAGACTCAACATGGCATGGAATTCGTTGTCATTTGGCTAAGAGAAGCACCTGTGCCGTATAAGGGTTTTCGGCCCTCGCATTACACTGGGACAAGATGCAATCGGCTCATCCCACTTGGCTTCATCCCAACTGGCGCGAACTGGGAATCTGTCAATCCACGGCGAGGGGAGAAGGGTTTTGGTTGACATCAATCCAGGCATGCCGAACGCAAGACCTTTGGCCTTAACGCCAAGAGGCCACAAAGGAGGAAGGAAGGTCGGAGCAACGGATGAGGGGAAATAGGTCTTGGGGTTCTCAGCTCCAGGTATCTCAAGGCTGAGGACGCATCCAAAGTCTTCGGGTTTGGATTCCCCGAGCCACTTGCTCTGGAAAGGACAAAAAAATCGTGTGGTGAGTCCACACGCACATCAAAACACCCAGGCAAGGGGGGGGGGAGGGGTGAGGGAACGCCTGGGCATGATTTTAATTTGGGACCCTATCTTTTTGGGGTGGGGTTTATGTCCAGAAAAACCACTGACAACTGTTGGGTCCTGTGTCGGCTTGATGTTGGGCTAGGCTCGCAATTAGCGTTGGCTTTTTCTAGACGGTTCCGCATGCCAAGCATGGACCGCCGACAGAGTTGGATAAAGCGCACAATCAATAATTAACCTAGTAATTAGGGATGGTTTGTTTCCTTGGTACCCCTTGTCTGCTAGATTTCAAAGGAATACCTAAAGGACGCCCACCATTTTGGGGGGTCCAACCTCAAAAAAGACACACCCAATTAGTCTTGGAACGTCCCCCATCTAAGGAACCCTCAGGCTCGCTCCTTCTTGATGTCCTGGGAGAACCTCGGCTCAACAGGTCGGCGCCAGTAAGGTCGATGTGGGACCCTTGAAACCTCCAATGGGTTGCAGCCCATGGCCGATAGCTCGGAGTGACATCGTCTCCCTATAAAGATGTGCTGTATCACTTGCGGAACTGGATCAGGGAAAGCGGGGGGCCCACCCGATCTCCATGGCACACTGGGGGCCGGACTGCTCATCTCGCCTACAGGCGTTTGGTTGTTCACAGCTTCGCATAAATCTGCAAATGGATACAAATTCAACGATGATGCAAAAAAATATGAAAATGGAATCCCCAAGCAGGTAAAGGACCTTCATCATGGTGAGCTTCTTTTACCCCAAGGTGAGTAGGCAAACACAACATCGCCTGGGGTCACGCGTGGTGGTTTGTCAGCACAGCAAATCAAACCGCTGGGCTCCGCCGCGCGCACACTTGCAGCTCCTTGAGCTCAAAAAGTTGTCCGAAAATGGACCCGCTGAGCAATTTGTTCACAGGGCAACGCCATAATCCTACGTAGCCCAACTAAGCAAGCTGACTGCAAGCGCCCCTCCAAGGCACGCTCACCATGGTGACCAACCCACCCCGCCGAAGTGTGCCTCCAACCATGTTCCTTTGGCGGAGCATACTCATTGTAGAAGTTTACATTGTTCCACCAAACTGGAAGCAAGGGCAACAGGAGCTTTCTCTGTGGAAGAGAAAAGCGTTGCATGCAAAACGCTGGAGACAATTGCCCAAGCGCCGCAGTCGCCGTTGGCTGAGGTGGAGGTTTTCAGGAAATCTGTGGATGGCCGAGAAAAATGGAAGCAAAAGGACATTGAAGGGTTGCAAAAATCAGCAGGAAATAGATGTGAGAGATGAGTGGGTCAAAATGTCTGCTGGTCCCTTGGAAGACGTGTCGGACAATTCCCGAAGGAATCGATGAGCCCACACTTGAGTAAGCGATCCGTTAGTTGGTTTATGATGGTGGCCAGCACGAAGCTTGCTGGAGCGAATGTGAAGACACCGACCCCAACGGTATCGACGGCAACTGAGGCGGTGCGTGGTCTCTGACTAGGGGCCCTGGCTGGATAAAACAAGATACCAACATCCAATCAACCTGTCTGGAACCAGCTTGTCGAGCAACCAACCGGTAGGGCCCTCAAAAACAAGACCTCCTCTTGAGTCGTGAAACAAATGAGACACAACTCCAGAGGCCAAAGGCTATCCATGAGACAGGTATGTTTGATTGCCTCAATAGCCAGAGTTGAATCAGTCCATTTGTGAAACCATTCAAAAATGGCAATGGATTCCTTAGAGGGGGTCACTCCAAAACGGGGTGCCCACCAAGAAATGGCACCACCCCTCGGGTCCGGGCTGCTGTCTCTGCACTTGGCTGTTGTAAAAGGCCAGCGGATCCATCGCCTGGAACTCTCGCGTTTGGTGTTGGGCCGATTGGAGGGATCCATATAGCTGTGGTCAAAACCGTTTTGGATCCCATTTTTGTTGGTAGGTGAATTCACCATCCGCTTTGGGCTTCCTATTTTAGTGGTTGGATTGGGATGTTCACCGGGGGTACGATTTGGATTTTAACACATGGCCATATGATACTTTTCTTGAGGGATCCGAGATTGGAGAGATCCCTTGGGGGAGTTACCCCTCTTGAGGTTGGCTTAACCTTCAAAAGAACACAAAAGGCAAGCCACCAGCCCATTGAGCCGAACAAAACCCAGTTTAGTTTGGTCCACATGGGCTCATCCGTAGGCACACTACCACCATGACGTGCTTCCCATGTCAATTACAACAGGCCACCATCCTCTCAGAGCTGGGGTGGGGTGGGCTTATGTTTCCTCGTTTTTCCCTAACATGGTCGATAGAAATGGTTCAGGAGATCGCCGGGACGCTGATTGGCCGTGCTTACCTCAACAACGTATCCCTCACCGGCAAAACAGACACACAGTTGCATACTGTGGATGGGCAACATATTGCACCAGTTTGTAGGCGGTTAATCCCAGTATTCGCAAGGTGCCATTCCAAACCAACTGATGCAGCAATTTGCCCATCCATATACTGAGGGTTGCATGATGTAGTTGGGGCATGCACCTCAGGAGCAAGTCGTGATTTTCCCAGTGGGCGGGTGCCGTTGAAATACCCTGTGGAAAGATCAAGCAAACAAGCAGTACCCAAAATATCTTAATAAAGGGATCCTTCCCTTTCAGAAAATGCAGAACAACCATGAGAAACCTCGCGGATATTTCACTTTTTGAAGCGGGTGAACAGATTGGAACAACAAGTGCAAAGTGAGTCAACCCAGAGAACAAGACTGGCTTGGAAACCTGCGAGCACATTCGCGCTGTTCGCTCCCTGAAAGTCAGTTGCCAGCAACCCCTCAACGTCTGGAAAGAGTTCGGATTTCTGATGGGCTTGGGCACATGCAGTGATGCTAGTAGAACCCTACCGAAAAAGAAAAACAAAAGCCTGCCAAACGGATTGCCTTTCTAATTCTCCCACAGACGCGGCAAGCAACCCGCACTCCCATAGCCCATCGTTGTTTCCGGGCGCTCACAACACCTAGGCAAAGACCACGCGTGCCGCCGCAATATGGCACCTCTTCTTGGAGAGCGGACCGCTCTGCGCGGGGATCTGATGGCAACTTGACTTGCGGCTTTCCTGAGCACAAAGGGCTGACTCCCTGATAGGTTCGTGGGAAAGAAAACCAAAAACAACGCTCGCGATGTTGGCTTGCTGTGATTGGCCAGTGAGCTGAGTGCCAGCAAATTACAAGTTGATCACAGAGGCTGGTGTGCTTTGCCCCTTAGCTTTTGCTGGCGATGTCAGATTCACTGCGAGCCGAAACGGCCACCTGACTTTGGCCCCTTTGGGGACAATTTGTTTCCCCAAAGATGCTCGAAGGTAAAGTCCGGTTCCTTGGACTGCGACGGAGCCGCGCGCAAATCACTCGGAGGATGGAGGAATCAGAAACTCTGCTTGGTTGGTTCCACCGACATTGACTCCAGGGCGTCCCAAAAGCGGCTGTCCATTGGACGCATGGTGGCCTTGTGCTTCCAACAGACGGCTCCGCATATTTCTCCTCGAGCGTCACCCCTCCCAACGAACAGTTTTGTCAGTTTGGCAACTCAACACACACACACACACAAAACCTGAAAGGCCCAAGACCAAAATCTTGGAGAGATGATAACCCCCCAATTGTCCACTGAATAACCAGTAAGAGGTGCCTATTGGATTGTTGCAGCCCTCCGGCTACGCGGCTGTGGCATACCCAACCTATCCCAGGCCCGGGCTGTCGCTTGCCGGTCACCACCTTCGAAATCTTCTGCCTGAGAACTGCGGCAAGAGCAACGCGAGGTTTGCAATTCCCCGAGATCAACCTGGAACTGGACAAAAAAGCCTTCCCCCAAACGCGAGTCGCTTCCGCTTTCAATCGAATGGGGTTGTTGGGGATTGGGGAAACATCTGGCCCTCGGCTTCATGATAAGCATGTCCTCTTGGCACCCGTGTCGGTGATCGGTAGCATGGCACGTCAGCACTCCAATGGCTGGTGGTCATGGATCCCGCGAAATAGAAACCTGCATCATGGTTATCTACAATCCCTATTCAACGGCCTATGTCCCTACCAACCCGGACAAATGGGTTCTTCACCATGGCACATGTGGCTATCTAAAGTGCCTCCTAGAAGATCACCTTGAATAACGAAAACTCAAATGTGGGTGTGAGATTGAACTGGCTAGACTCCTTGCTGCGCAACAAACTACGCGACATGTTGGAAGGAAACCTAAACAATGCTGGGCAGGACTTCGACACCAGCAAAAAGTTCAGCGATTGTTGGTAAGTCTCCGGCGTCAACCCCTCGAAAAACGGGAGGCGGTCTGGAAGGACCTCCCGACCACCCCCACCCCAAACACCACCGAGAGCCTGTTTCAGTCTTTCGCAAGGGTTCTAAAGACGGTGTGTTGGACATCAGCAGAAAAGAGTTTCATCACAGAAACAAATATGACATGCCACCTTAGAATCACTGCTGCCTCGAGGTTGGTTCAAACAAGGAAAGCGCAAAACTCCTCGCACCGGCTGTCGTGCGGAGTATGTCAACTCATTTGCTACAACCATAATTGATGTCCTGATTCCAAGTACTCCAGCTCGACTCCAACCACTTGCAAATCACCGGGCTCTCCCTTTTCCGGCTAATTTCTATCGCATCAACCGCAAGGTTTCAGCAGTCTGACGCCCAGCTCTGGAGTGGAACCACCCCTTGTGGGGTTCTGGAATCCGAAGTTTGCCCACCCCCCCCCCCCAAAGAAACAAGAAGAAGTGGTTTTCCTTTTGGCTTCCCTTTAATTTAAAACCACTAAAAAGGGTGTACCCTCAAAAAAGACACCTCCGACTCTGGCCCTGAGCGGTTCATGATTATGCATGCCAAGTGGCTCCTGCTTGTCAATCACCTTTGAGCTCACCATATGGCCATCCTGTGACATATGCGGCATCGACGGAGTCAGAAACGCATGGCTGTTGCAGTGCACGTGTCCGCCTTAAGAAAAACTCAAGCTTTCATTTCACAAGGCGCAACCAACAATATGTAGACATGTATGTATGTAGGTTTGTGGGTGCCTTGTGTGTATAGAAGTCCAATATTCATATATACAAATATGTACGATCCCCCCCCCCCGGGTGTCCCCATTTTCCCTTATCATTGAAACTGTTCAGGGATTGTTGACCAAGAACATCACAAAAACCAGAATTCTAAACACCGCATTTAGATTTCTAGGTACGGTATTTACATCCTCGATCCAAGATCTGGGGGACATTTGGGAGAAATCTTGAATCCATGAATTATTCATTGAATGCCCACGTCAGTTTCAGGCCAAGAGAGGCCAATACAACACAAATCAGCCCAACAGAAAAAGAAGCGGTTCAGCCATCGAGTCATTTCAGGCTGACCAGTCCGCTTCTCCCCATTTTGAGATGGGCCTTTGGCTTGGATCTTCGTGTGCCTGGTACAAAAAAGGGGCTGCTTGAGAAACGCCAGGCCTTGGGCACCCAAAAGCCCCTGCCAAACAGGGAAGGCCCCCCCCCCCCACCCCATCGCAAAAAATGGTCCTTGATCTGCACATCCGAGGCATCTTGGTACAAGCCTCAGCATCACGGATGTCCCTCAGACAAACAGCCGGAAGCTTTTAGAAGGCCGATGGAAATGGAACTAAGTCGTGCTGGGAGCTTCTATGTTGGCGTGGAGGGTATAGAAACCCTACTCACATCGCCAGCAAATACCATGCTTTCTGCAGGAAGGGCTCTAGTCTATGCTCGGCTTCCTTCTTCCTTTCCTGGCAATCCTGATGACTGTAACAGTTTTACTCGGCATTCCACCGGTGTCACTGAACATGGGGAGCCTCGTTCACAAACATGCTCAGCACAGCCGCTGCAAATCAACATGCTTGAATGACTGCAACAAAACAGGAACGCAAGGATCAAATCAGATGTCACATTCCTCCACCTTAATTACCTTCTTGCGCTCCTAACGGCCCGTGATGCTGGCTGTGCCAAGTCCGCTGTTGCAGAAGATTCTGCGCAAGGGTGGGGCAAGACTTGCACCATTCCCCCAAAACGCAGCTCTGTAATCCACATTAAGAACACCTCACTGTTCACCCGAGCGCTCAGCATGTGAAATGAAAGTGCAAGCCTTGCTCTGAAACAAAGAACGTATGCAAACTCCCATACATCACACATCCTCCGGTGATGATCCCAGAGTGCCTTGCCCTGATGCGCGAACCAGCGGCTGATCCGGTCCCAAGAAGCTTAGCGTATTAATTATTGTTCCTTGGTAATTTCCCATATCATCCAATCAATCTTTGAATCCTTCAAATGCCGAAAAATAGCATCTACCTTCATGAACCCTTCGTCCATGCTTCGGGCCTTCGCACACCCTTCTTTCATCCAACAGCCACCCTTCACCCGTCCTGAAGTTATTTCTCCTTCACCCACGCTTCCTGCACCCTGCATCCCTCATCCACGCGTTCATCTGTCCGGCGGATGCACTCGTTACATGTAGGGAACCTTCCATTGGCTTTTAATATTCACATACTTCCTGTGGGAGATTCCGAAAATTAAGCAATATTGAGCAAACGGGTCTTTTTCTTTTGATCGTATCATTGTTTGAAATGGCTCTACAAGGGTACGCGAAGGAAAACCGTTGCACCAATTTGGGTGGGTTGCATTCCCCAAAAAAACAAGCCACCCAAATGGAAGGAATCACCCTGAAGATCACTGAGTTAACAACCTGGCACCGCTGTCCAAAACCAACCTCGCTTTTGGAGGGCGTCCGTTTGAGAAATAGATGGATTCTATTACTGGTAGACCGGCCCCAGCGGACCCTACACCTCGCAAGGTGGGAGAAAAAAACCAACTGCCGGCACTTAATTTGTTCTTGTTGTTTTTGTGTGGGCTTCCAAAAACACATGTTTGCTTCGAAGGGGTAGCCATTCTTGTGGCCAGGACGAAATGAAATGCGATCACCTTTTGGGGCGACTAAATATGAAAGCCAAACCCGGGAACACCAAACGGTTGAAAGATGAAACGGTTGCACCCCTCCCCTTTGACTCTGTCTTTCCTTTGGTGGGTCCTTTTTTTGGGGGTGGTGTTCTGGACACCAAAACATGCCAAAAAACGACCACCAGTCACTGCGCTTCCGCTTCGCCTGCTCAGAGGCCCCCGGCGCTGGAGCTCTTGCGGGCTAAGCATGGAGCTGGTGTCGAAGGGCGTGCCCATGTCCTACGCATCACACCGATTTGTGTTGAAAAGCGGAGTAGTTCGGTAAAACTCATCTAAACCAGTAATCCATATTACCCATCTAAGGAAAATCGGTGCTTTGGGCAGGAAATCCAAGCTGAACCAGCGGGTTGAGGAAAATCGGGGGTTGGAAGTAGCAACATTCAGCTTCCTTTGGGGTGGTTTGGAGTTTGGAGTAAAGGTAGTTTATCACTTGCCCTCAAGAACCCGGGGTTCAACCGAGCCACCAATCCAAACCGCCAACTGCCATGGTCAAAACTCCCTATGTTTGGCCTATTGTCACGGCTCCCTCAAAAGTAATTGTTGTTGTGAAGGATCTCTATTGCCAGGCGGATGCCCATCCCTATTAACTCCAAGTAAAAACAAACCTTTACCATGGATCATGTGATGTCTCCGGGATCCACTCTTATTGCCGCACCAATTGCCTCCTCCCTTTTGTGTGTTCAAATCGGAACCCAGCATTTACTGCCAAATTTGTTAAAAAGTTGGCGCGGGTTTGGCAGCGGGTTTGGCAGGATGCCTGATTTAGAGGTTGTGTGTGCTTTTGCTTGGAGTTTTTTGGCCTAGCCGCATGCCATGCAGCAAAGAGGCGTTTGGCTTAGATTCATGCCATTTGACGAAGCACCCAAGGCAAAGAGAAAGAGGGGGGCTTCTAGTTGGGGCGAGTCCTCCACCTGCCCTCGCGTGGACCCCAGAGCGACAAGAGCAGGTACGTGTACACGAACAAAGTTCGGGGTGTTTGGTGGCAGACTGCCCCCTGCGTCGGACACGCGCACACACATCCAAATATTTCAGGGGGCGCTGAGCCCAGCTGCAAGGACAGGTGTCAGCTACCGCCAGGTCAGCTAAATTGTGTCTCTTGACGTCAGCGTCTCTCATATACCCACACGCAAGGGTGAAGCAAAATGAACCAAAGTAAAGCAATGCAACGTACACACTGCCTTCCCAAGGCACGCGCCCCATCCGGGAAACTCTTGTTCTCACATCTGCGCATGCCTGATCTCCTTTCACTGTTTGTAGCGAGCTGTTGAAGCTTTGTCCAACGGTATGCCAACAATTGGTGCGCTCACCCGCTTGAATTTCAACTTCAACACTTACAAGGGACCCAAAAGATACGCCGGGTGCCTCCAAAACCAGGTCTCCCGAATGGAATGCGCAAGCAGACCTGAGGTGCGACTAGGTGTTCCTACCGAACGGAGCTCTCTCACCGTTGCGAATGATTTTCGCACTTCCTTTTGTTCGCTACCAGAAGCAGACCTGCATGGAACTCCGTCTTGAGCCGTTTAAATTCGGCAAGCTGCAAGCTTGGACCTGTGAGCTGTTGCGACCCACATGGCCCCAACTCCAACTTCAACTCCCACCTCAGGGTTCGTCGATGCACGGACACTCAAGTTGCCCTCGTCCAATGGAACTCCAACAGGAAAGTGCGCCAACCCCGGTTGTTCCCGCTTCGGACCCAGGTTATGGGAGTTAAAAAAAATCAACGAGGTCAGAACAAGGTCTTAATGAGGTCAAACGAGGTCCGAAACATGCAGCGCGGGTTCGACAATAATGTGGGTCTCGTCACCCACGTCTCTCCCAGATGGACCATTGATTGGCAATTTTGATCGATCCTCATGTGTCTAAGTACTAAACATGGCCTAAACAGAATGGGGTTGAGATAATGTTGAAAGCCAGCGTTAGTCAAGGCCAAAATATGACTAGCAGTTACTTGGCCCCTTACACTGCACATGGACATCCTCGCGCTTTCTCGTCTCTCCTGTGACGTCAAGGACGCCCGTATTGCCGCATTCGCCGCAGCGTTCGCCGCCGCCGTCGCCGCCGGAGAGGGGGACTGCGAGGCCTGAGGATTAAGGCTTCGTTCTTGTGAGGCTCAAACACTAGGCAAGAAGACCATAGAAGACCAAAGAAGGGTTTGGTTGGAAAACAGGCCCACCAAGTGATGCATTTGGTGATTTGCCTTTTTGTGGCTCTGCTTTGTAAAGTTCCCTCGCAGGTGTCCGAGAAAAGGAGCCCAAGTCATTAGTCTGTGGAAAGAAAACACCCGGCTTCGTTTCGCATGCAAGAGAGAAGCATCGGTACCCCCCCCCCCCCGCAAAAGCAGGCCCCGATTCAAAGCCGTTGAGTCCGGGCCAAGCTTGGGCTGACCAGGGGTGTGCCTCCGTGTTCCAACAGCTTCTCAAACCTGACCTCCGCTTTTGGTATTCAAAGGGAGGCCAACAAAACACTGCTGCCATCTTAGGTGGCAATCTCCAATTTTGCGTAAGCCCAGATGTCAGGAATGCCCTTAACTTGGAGTTGGCCAAGGTTGCTTCAGGTGGGTTTGGTGTAGCTCAAGAAGCCATTTTTTTGGACAGACCGTATAGACCAACTGCCCCAAATAGCAGTTAAGGCCAGGCTGAAGGCATTGGCTTGAAGCCAATCTTATGGAAAGCTATATTAGTTTTGGTCGGAGGTACTTGGAAGAGGCTATCGGGCTAGGGGAACCAATTCCTGAAGCCAAATGGCCATGGGTCAAAATCCAAATCGTACCCCCAGTGAACATCCCAATCCTCACTCAAATAGGTTCTAAAATGGGTGGTGCACCTACCCCAAAATGGGATCCCATTGGTTTTGACCCACAGCCAAATATCAACTGCTCCAATTAGCGGTTACTGCTGAAAGCATTGGCTTCCTGAAGCCAATTCTATGGAAAATTCTATCAACTGATATTTGGTTTCCCTGGTATCTGAAAAAAACACATCGCCTGAAAAGCCTGAAAATATGCCTCCTTCCAGCTGGTCTTTGGTTGCCCCATCCGCCATTCGCCCCCGCGTCAAACACCGAGGCCCGCACGGCTCGCCGCCGCCCGCACTTCCGGCCTGAGGACTTGGATTCAGCTTAGGTCAACCTGTGGGATACGTGAGAAGCCGCGTCGGGATACGTCGGAGAGTCTTCATGTCGATGTGGATATGGCAGCTGACCTTGGGGGGACCTTCCCGGCAAGATTCCGCGCCCAGCATGGACAAATTTAGTTCTCATCAACCTGTCGCGCCCCGATTTCGGGCCACGCCCAAGACGGTACCTCCGCCCTCAAAAAGGGCCAAATGGTACGCATGTTCGGCTGACGGCATCAGAGTGTTGGGTTTCACAGGGGCGTGGTTTGTCAGGTCAACGCCTTGTCCTTTGTTGCACGACAAATCCAGATTCGGTATGCTTCGAGACGGTTTACCCTGCTCCAAAACGGCTTGAAGTTTCAACCCTAGAAGTACCGGTGCCGACACGGGTTCAGCAGGTGAGTTCCACCCAAAGTTGGGCTGATTTCGCATTGGCCTGCATCAAAGGGAACATCGACACTTTCATTCCACTTGTCAAGCTCATTGAAATAAGTGAGGATGTGATTCATCAGCAAAGGTATCAAGCAAATTGACACAATCATGAAACCGTTTGTTGATGCTGGGACCACGGCCTTATCGTCTTCGACAGTTTATGCATCTGCTCTCCACTTGCTGGGATAGCCGCCAAATCAACGAGTGACCCCTTGGATGGGACTTGATGCCCACCTGATATTATCTCAACATTGGGGTTGATCACTTGGGGAAGCCATGCATTCAGCTAATATTAGGTCCATGTCAGCTGGCCGACTTTCTGGGTCAAAGGCTGGCCCGTTCGAATCATAGAGCACACAAAGACATATCAAGCAAGTGTTTGAAGAAATCGATTGGATCGTACTGCACCACCGCGATTCATCTACAAGACCCAGCCAGTTGGACGGCACAAGGCTCAAACCCGAGAACCCCACCCCCAAAGCTGCCCCCTCTCGAAGGAAAACAAAGGGCTTCGAAACCGCGGCCCCCATCCGACCCCATCTTGGGGGTCGAGCAGAACGCTGAGTCTTCCGTGTAGAAGTTCCCGCAAAGGCACTGCTCTCCGTAGGCCTTGCCGTTGGAAGAACGGTTCACATGCAGCTTGCTTTGCCTAAAGCGAATCAACGAATCCGAAATTTTTAACAAACACAAACGAGGGCTTTGGAGAAAGTACTACAGGAATACCAAAAGAGCACCAAGACAAAGGATTCGCCCGGCAGGACTCCTGTTGAAACGCACTCTCTCTTTCCCACAAGGGATACATAGCAAAAATGGGTCGTCATGAGTGGAGTTCCAGGGCATGGTTGAGGGTCCAGTTCGGCGCTCAGCCCGACAGACGCGAGTTCAAATCTGCTGGAGAACAACTAGCCGTGAGCCGCGTGGCAACGGCCCGGTCACAAGTTCGACCAACTTGGCTTTGCCGCCAAGGTCCCGGAAGTTGAAACTCCGAAGCGAGCCCGGTGTGGCCCACGGGGTCTTGGGAGTCCGGGAAGGTTCATGGCACAAATGCTGGCTCTTGAACCCAAATCTTCACAGCCATGCACGTAGGGCGGGAAACAAAAACCAAGTCTAGCATGGCTCGTCTTCCCTCTTGACTTCAAGCCAACAAGCCCCCAAGCCAGGAACAAACCCAAGGCCGATAGCAACGGCATTCTGGCCAAGGCGCCTGGCATGGATTCCCTCTTTTCTCAGCTGTCCCCACGTGTTCCTTGCCCCAAGAGCCCAACTGAGTCTTGGGAGGCCCACCCCCAGCTTCTTGGCTCCTTCCAACCACTAAATAGATACAATAGGAATCGGTACCCCCAAAACGAGTCGTTTGCTTTTGGTGCCCCTGTCCCCCAAAAAGACACACACCCATTTTGCCGAAGCCGCCTCCGGAGCGGGCTGATGCTGGCCCCCCATCGGCAGGAAGTCGGGGTGCGCCACGCTGTTCCTGGCAGTTTGGGGTCGAGAGCAATTTTTTAGACTTCCCCCTGAATCCTGTTGACCCGCCCTCCCAACAGAAGGTTTCCCTCCAATAGTAATGAACCCCCCCTCTTAAGTTGGGGGGGTGTTGTTAATGAACCCAACAGTAATGAACCAATAGAAGGTTTTCTCCAATAGTTGCCGTTAAGTAGCGGGGGGTGTTAATCCGGCGTTCCACTAATTGGTACTGTTGGATTCGTGGTTTGGAGGTGGTTCAACGGGGGGCAGCTTCCCATTTGCCCTCAAGAACCAGGGTTCAAATCCTCACACCAGCGAACCAAACCACCAATTGGGGCAACCTGATTTAAGTTTGCTTTAGGGTGGGTGTAGTATTGGTTTAGGTTCAGAAACTAGAGCTGGCTTAAAAGTGTGTTTAAAATGAAGCAAGTTGAAAACTGCCCCCAAAAGGGAGCGCTGAAAAAACAAGCCGTGTGGTTTGTGCCCGTTTTGGAGTTGTTCCCCCTTTGTTGCTGTTGTTTTTGAAAGGGAGCTAAAAAGAAAACTGAAGGCAATGCTAGGGGCCCATGGGACGCCCGTTCGAGCTATATCGCTATAAGATCCGCATGTGAAACTGACCCGTCACAGCAGCATCGGTGCTTTTCATGGCTCATCTCGATATCGCCTTAGGAGCCGAATGGACATGCCAACCACTGGGAGCCGAGGGCGCCACAGTCCAAGCCAATTCTAGGTCCTCCAGTAGAGAGGTTCGAATCAGGGTACCAACTTTTGCTTTTTTCCAGTAGTCTATTTTAGCAGGGGAACCCTCCCAACCAAAAAAGAAACGGTGAGAAAGGGCACTGGAAGATCTACTTCTCGCGCCTCATCGAGGCCAGGTAGTGCTGCTCCTGCTGGCTGTTGTCCAACGCCAGGAAGTCCGACCCAAGCCTCGAGTCGACAAAACGATTCGCCCCCGCGAGCAGAGGTCGGGCCCAAGCCTTCGCTGTTCTGACGCTTTCCAGTTTGGACCTCTCGGTTTTGGGGTCGAAACGGGTGGGACCAGACCCAATCTGGGGCACCGCACCCATCCCTCAGTTTACAGTTAATTCAGTGAAGGCTTCTTAAGCTCCTCACTGTTGTTGGACGTTTGGCTGTGTCTGTTTTTCAGGGTACCCTTTGTGGCTGGGTTTCAAAGGGAAATCAGAAGGAAAACCACATTTTGCTTGGGGGGTACCGCCCCTAAACAAAACACACACACACACACAGACACACACCGTTTGAACTTTGTGGGAAGAACCTCCATCCTCAGCACCGCGCGCATCTTTCCGGTAGAAGTCCTAGCTCGGACGATCTGGCCGATCGACCCGCCTCGAGGTTGATCAATGGCGTGGTGCGAACCCAACCACATGCCATGAGAAAACAGGGGTCCGGCATACTGAAGGGGGAACGCAATCAACATTGGCAACCAGAAGGTGTTAAACAACCGGCACGTTGGGACCGCTGCAAAAAGCACCACCGCGAAAAGCACACTTTGCTCCCAACTACCAAAACACAAGGATGGAGGGCTTGGATCGCTGAGACCACGGGAAAGACCCCATAGCTTTCTGTCACCTCACGCCTTACCCCTAGAAGGTTTGGTTTGGTGGTTTGGACTTCAGGGAGTGATGGGTGCCTTTTTCCGGCTCAAACGAACTTTGGCAAGGCCCAAACCACCAATCGAAACCGCCAATTCAACTTGGGAGCAAACATTAAACTTTAGCAGTTAAGTGGGGATTTCCCACTAAACCACAACAAGCAAAGATGTAAAATGTTTCCCAACAACAACCATGTCAAGGGCTACCACTCGAGTCAGGTTCGTCTCCTGGCCACGCTGCAGCTCGCGGGCCACGTCGGCGGAGCTGTACCTGGATTCTGGTGCGGATGGCTCGTGGCTTGGACACGCTCGCGGAAAATGACCCCTTGTGGCTGAATGAGTTCCATCCCTGAGAGATCTCACAAAAGTGAGGGGCCCATTCCTCAGATTCATCCGCCACAGCATTCACTGCGGTTCCCTTTTTTTGGAAACAAAAAAAACATAGCACATTGCCAAGCCCGATAACAAACAACCATCGGCACCAGGGCACTGTCCACGTATCATGCTGATGTAAGGATCCATCGTTATCAGACTCGGGGACCTGCCAGCTGCAGCGGCTGCCGGGCAGGGGTTGCAACTTCTCCAAGCCCTTGCCCTCCCCCATCTGCATCAAACCGCCGACCGCAAAGAAGCCAAAAACCCCAAGGCATCTCAGATGTTACCTTGAACAATTGGCGTGCCAGCTTGCATGGCATGGAGTGAGCAAAAACTCCCACAGCTTTGGGATCGGTTCCGTGGGACAACCGGCGGTTGGAATCAGTCGACTCGGGTCGAGAAGGCTCCGGTGCCTAGAAGCAAACAGGCATAGGACCCCCCCACAGCCACCGCTCTCTGCCCAAACTCGGCTCGAGCCAAAGCGATGACAAAGCGATGCGCTCCAAGCCGACGTCTTCTGTCAAACCCAAGGCAAACTCAATCAACATTTTGGCAAGACGCCTCCCGAATGGGAAATATGAGGATCTCTCAGCCGATGAACAAGCACACAACTGCTACTCCTTCTTCTTCTGGTTCTTGGTATCTCCTCTCATGTCCATCTTGGGTTCATATTCCTGTCAAGTGCTGCACCACTCACTCAGGTTACCCGCCGTGATTGCACAGCCAGGAGGGCAGCAGACGATGAGCCCCTGAGTTTCCAACCGCTTGTTATCAGTTATCGGCCCCAAATGGGTGGCTCGTCTTCTTTTGGGAATTGGACCCCCCCAAAGTGGCTTCGGATTTCCTGCAGGTGTCCCTGCAGAACCACCAAACAAGTGGTGCCATCAAAAACGAGCCACCAACATTTCGTTTATACACAGAACCAGCTGGGGTCAAAAAAACAACGAGCCAAATGGCCCCCAAGAGAGACGCGCTCACCTTTTCACTTCCGGGTCAATCCCTTTGTTCAGGAACTCCTCGACTTCATCGTGGATGACCTCAGCACAGACTGTTGGCTGGATGGCTTGGGACGCCTCTCTCGCAGCCATTGGGCTGTTGTTTTGCTACCCAGAGGCTCCTGGAGCTTTCCATGGAAGACCCGACCACTCCATTAGACACCCCGCTTCGGTGTTTGGGACCCGCCGTTTCTGGGAGCAAAGGAATCCTGCGCTTTGGCCCATGTGTCCAAGGACAAGCCACTGACATAGTGATACGGTAGTGATGCAGAGTCAGCACCCCAACAACTTAAAAACCGGGAACCCAACTTCCCGCAGGTCTCCTCACGTAGGTCCTCCAGTCGAGAGGTAAAAATTAAGGGTACCCTTTTTCTGTCGTCTATTTTAGTAGGGGAACCCCCCTAACCAGAAAAGGGGTGAGAAAGGGCGCCGATCGCTGGGGGACCAAGTCACGATGCCCAATACATACAGTACCTCCAGCCCTGCGAATGTCTCTGGCCTCTGGGGCTCGCGCCATTCCCAGATCGATGAGCTGCTTCATGTAGATCTGGCACGCTAACTCCAGATCTGGACATGATGGCTCCCATAACGGGAACCTTGATATGACAAGAACTTCCTTGCCTTTACGGCCATCCCTACTAACCTCTAAGACACCTGCAGCAGCTTCTACCGGAATGGAACAAACACCCACCGACACGTAGCCCAATCCCTCGACTTTGCCAATATGGCCATGGGTCAAAACCCCGTACCCCCAGTGAACATCCCAGTCCCGACTAAAATAGACTAAAATGGGTGGTGCACCTACCCCAAATGGTACCGTTCGTTTTCACCCACAGCCATATTGCTTTGTTGGCGACCCCTCCATTTTATTCACTTTTGGCACTGGAGGCACTAGCGCCCACGCTGGCGCCGAGATGACAGCTGGCAAACCTGATCATATTTTCAGAACTGTCCATAAAACACGCTCAAGTGCGTTCCCCTTTGGATAAACTCACAATGACTCGACCATACTATGTAGATACACGTAGTATGGAAACTGATCTCTCTGCCAAAACGCAATACACATTCCAACACTTCTTCCCGCGCGAGCAACAAATACGATGTGGCTTGCATCGGAATCAATCCGGATGCGTTGACACTTTCCGGGGAATAGAGTACTAGGCCGCATAGCTGGACACTATTGCGAGCCCCAAGTGCAGGACCTACACCATGGAGCTCGCTTTACCACACGAGCTTGTCACAAAATAGGAAGACCACTTGTTGATGGTTAACGTCTTATTTCGTGCAACACGTTTTGTCAAACCCCAACCTGGAACAAGGGCAATATTTTTTGTCTCTTTATAAGCACCCCCCACCAAACGGAGGCTTGAACAATGCCCAGCCAGGCGACGTTGTAATCCATCCAACCAACATGAGACAAGCCGCTTCCACACCCTCTTGGCTAGACCGTTGGTTCCCTCAGCTTTCGGATTTTGCCTTCATCCACCTTCAAACCGTCCCTTGGGTCGTCCCTTAGACTCCAAACAATAGCTACAGTTCCACCCTTTAAAGGAACCTTTACACCGTTCCCCCGGGTTCTCCCGTAGACCCCGACCAAAAGCCACGGCCGTCCATGCCGGCCTGCAGCCGCGGGCTGGCGCGAAGCTCCGAGAAGAACAAGGGATAATCCTGGTGCATCAGGATCAAGGCCCGCTTCACCTGGCGACATTTTTTTGGCTCGGCCAGAGATGGGAGCCTCGGAACTTCACCCAGCCTTCGTGCTAAGGGAAGCCAAAAGCTGGAACATGGTGACAAGGTGTGGGCAAGTGTCAAAACGCCTCCCTGGAACCAATCTGCAAAAGGGCACCTTCAAGACAAGATAAACCCAAAGTCTGGGACATGTTCAGACACACTTGGCTTCCTCCTCGAGCAAAATGGGAGAAAGCCTCCCTGGAAAACATTCCCTTTAGGGTATTAGCTGGGCTATCGAGTACCCGGCCAGTGAAAATCATCGACTGGCCGCCGAATTCTCCTGTGAGTCCTCGAACAAAATCCGATGGGGGCCCCGCCATCCCCGCCTTGCAAGGTGACTGCAATTTGCCCAAAGTCGCAGGCCATCAGGTTCCAAGATGCGACATGGAGCTTGAACGCTGGAAGAAAGTGGTAGCCAGCTTCCTCGCCATTTTTCGGGGATACCACGTTCGGCCCATGGCTTCCAGGCCCCGCACATGTCCATCCGGTTCCTATGAACTCGTGATGCCTTGATCGAGTGCGACCAAAGCCTCGAAAACGGTGGGACCCTTTCTGGGCGATGTCCCTTTGCCTTCAAAGCCACCCCAAAAGCGGCCTTTATGCATGCGTTTTACACAGGCGCATATTGGACCCTCAAACAGAATCTCTTAGTTTCTTTCTAGCCGCCTGTCAGGGCACCAATTATGAAGTAGAGCAAAGGACACAATCTTGGGGAAAGTATGCCGGCGGACAGGAGTCTTAGGGGTGGAGTTCTTGGCCGTTCCGCCTGCGCGTCCTCCAACAACTCCTGCACCGCCTCATCCTCACGATGACTCCGCGTGCGAAGTCGAAGTTCGGTGGCTGAATCTAGGCTGGTATTAGGACCCCAGCAAATATATATATATATATATATAATCTACATATTTATTCTTGCCTGGTTAGTGGAAAACAAAGGGACCCCGAAAAAGCGAGAAGAATAAAAACTGAAAGGGGAGCTAATGCTGGGGAGGGAATGAGGATCCCGGAATCCCAGTGGTTAAGATTGATATCACTAACCACGCCTATGGGCAAGCTGGTGGAAACCTTGACAGGTGCCTTGAAAGATAGACCGACACATAGAGTCCCAAACGAGCCGCTTGTTTTGACAAATTAATATAAATTGGGGAGGCGCCAAGCACGCAGCCAAAGCTGCTCACAACTTGTGCCTCCCAATTCGAGTTATGGTCAACCGCTGCAATTGTTTCATGAGCATCCCTCGTAACCCCAAGTAGTGTCGACTTCGGACGCAGACCATACTCAGGGATGCTTTCCCCGTTGGGAATGACATCCTGGTGCTTCCTGACTACTCTGATCACATGCTTTTGAGAAGGTCTGTTGAGTACTCCCTTGCAGATTCACATGGCGCCCAAAAAGTGATCGTGCAAAGGGACCTCCTTTTGAGTCCCGGAACCCCTAAAATTCTGTGTATATATATATATATATGGTCCCGTGTGCCGTGTTGCTACCCCCCCCCCCCCCCCCATATGGTATGGTCCCCCAGGACCCCCCCCCCCGGCCCGAGACCTCGAGCCCCCGGATCCTGGCACCTACGGTCCCACCCCCACCCCGACCCCCTGAACTCGCACCCCGACACCCCGGCACCCCCACCCCCAGGACAAGCCAACCCGCAACCAACCATAAACCAACCCTAAACTAACCCTAAACCAACCCTAAATACACCCTAAACCAAACCCTAAACCGTAGACCTCTAAACCTAAACCAACCCTAAATCAACATAAACCAACCCTAAACTAACCCTAAACCAACCCTAAACTAACCCCAAATACACCCTAAACCAATCCCTAAACAATAAACCCTAAACCTAAACCAACCCTAAACTAACCCTAAACCAACCCTAAATAAACCCTAAACCAAACCCTAAACCGACCGTACACCTCTGAACCTAAACCAACCCTAAACCAACCCTAAATCAACATAAATCAACCTAAATCAACCCTGAACCAACCCTAAACTAACCCTAAATACACCCTAAATATACCCTAAACCAATTCTAAACCAACCCTAAACCACCACAACCCAACCACAGGACCACAACCACAGGGGGGGGGGGGGTACTTGCCTGACCCATGACCATTGGGGGGGGAGGGGGGGGGGGGCTGGCAACGCTGTACCATATATATGTATGTATACATATCCGAACCCCCCCCCCCCCGCCACTCCCAGGGCATCCACTCAACTCTCCTTTTGGGTCGCCCGCTTGGATTCCTTTCGCGGTCTCACTGCCCACCTTTTGCAGCTACCAACCAAAGCAAATCATGCAAAGACTTGAGGTAAACAGGGATCCTTGCATTATACACCTGAACATTGCCTTGTAACTGGTGGTTTCCCTTTATTTTGGCGGGAGAAGCCATGTTTCAAATGGGCAAAATGTATCTTTTAAAAGAGCCAGGGTTACCACATAGTGGCTTGACGTGGCTTGCCTGGAAGCACTGGGCATTCTCTCTATTGTACATTCTGCCCCGGCCGGCCCCCCAAAAAAACCCACGGGCCTCTAAGAGCAGCTTTTGCTTCTCCGAGAGGACGCCACCTGCGAGGAATCTCTATCCTTTTGCTGGGCAGGATTGCGTCTGTTTTGCACCCAGATCTCTCCAGGGCTGGAGCTTCCGGGTTGAGTATTCTCGCAGGGGTTGGCTGTACCTAGGCCTGCCTATTCGATCGGATTTGGTGGGCGCAGGTCTTGAGTTTGTTTGGAGCTCATTTAAACTCTGCAAAGGGCTGACATCTAAGTTGGCAATGGCTTCAGGGTTTGCCAAAGCATCAATTGAACCAGCCAACAAGCCAGCCAACCAACAAACCAACCAAGGAGATCAGCCCAGTGAAAAGAAACACAAGCCTTGCAAAATATAAAACACATCCCAATTTGCGTGGCTGTTCAAAATGGGTTGGCCGATCCTCCTTCATCCCTGGGAGGGACCCGGGAGGTCTGGCGAACAAAGGAGACTCCCTCTTGACGGACTTTGAAGCTGGCAAGCTCAGCATCGAGCTCTCAAGAAAGCCTCGAGCCCGAGGCTTTCAAAGGCTCCATCATGGCGACCAATCTGCAGAATGCCGGAGGGATGGAATGGGAGGGCACTCTTGGCTCGGAGTACCTGACATCTGCAAGCCTTGGCCTCAGCTGTCCAGGTGCTTCCTTTGGCGACGCTGAGTGGACGTGTTGTGGAGTGCCGACAAGCGTGAAGCGACAACTTGAAGTAGAGAAGGGCTCACTTTGACCAAACATTGACCGACATGGGAAAACCAACAAGGTCCACAGCTTGGCTATTAAAGGATCCATCGCCAAGCCAAGCCAAGCCGCCACTTGAGAACCACTGTGGTTTGAAACCTTAAGTGGCATATGGCCTTTTTTTGGTCAATGGCAACATGAGACGGATACTCAGCTTCCCTCGAATTGGTGGATTGAATTGGCGGTTCGGAGGTGTTATCGGGGTCCTTTTGCCAGCTTCAGTTCCAACTCCAATCCGAACCACCTAGGGGATTTCATCCAGAAACGGGCCTAAGTCCCTCCACTTCGCCCTGACCCAGACTTGGATTGCAACCACCACCATAGCCGTGGTTCATGAAACCGAAGCCATGTCAACCTGTTTGAACAACTGGAATTCCTTTTGGGTGCCCATCAAGAAAACTAAGCAAAAATCCATGGTACGTGTCAAAGGGCCCATAACCAATGGTGTTCTTTTTGCGGCCAATAACAATGCACCCCTTTCTTTGTTTCAAGCCCCCCCCCTCCCAAACCCCAAAAAAAGCAAAGAACAACACCGTCTGGCCCCTCCCAACATTCCTCACTCGTCGATGTTTCTTTGTTTACTTGAGAACCACCTATCATGTCATTGTACATGAATCCCCACATCTCCCCACAGATTATGACCCCTACAAATAAACAAAAACATATCCATTTGGGTTTTCTTCTCTGGGCTTCCCCCCTGGGGTTGGATTCAAGGCACACGGATTCCCGACCCCGGGCGGCCCGGGCCCACGTAGGCGGAGGTGGCCAGCTTCAGGCTCGCCCGCATGCGGGCCTTCTCCTTGGCTTCCTGAGATGTTGCGTGTCTTGAGCCGGATCCTTCTGGTCTCGAAAAGGAAAACGGAAGAAAACCCGAACTCCATGTTTGAGGGTCGAAAAAAACAAAACAAAAGGACTCACCCAGATGTGTAGGTATTAGAATTGGAATGGGTCCCCGTTGGTTTCCATTTAGCTTCCTTCCCACGGAAGTTTCTCAAAATCGTGGACATGCCAGGTGCCGAATTTCGAACCGAAGTAACAACTTATTTTGCACCCCCCCCCCCAGTTCTCATGTGTGCTGCCTAAGAGGCTGAAAAAGGAGCACCTTGTCCCCTATTGGTGGATTCCGGCCCGGTTGGCATGATGTTTAACTTGCTGGTGCTCAGTAGGGAATGAGGGAATGACCCCTAGAAACCACAAGCTTGCCTTCCAGGTAATCCTTGAGTTCGTTCCCACATTTCTAAGCCACGCCACCCCATTCTGAAGAGCTAAGCCAATTATCCCCCAAAATGGATGCAATAACAATTGCCGTCGAAGCAGTCCACTCAAGCAAGGCTAAAACTCAACTGTTCCCATTCTCTCCCTTTGCCGACTCCCAGCAGCCCACCAGGCATCTCCCAAGCAGGGGCGGTCAGCCTTGCCCTTCTTGTTTTGCCCACATCCATGTCATGAATCATTGCCAAGGCGACACTGACAAACATAAAGCCCGTGGCTTCACGGCAAGGATTGAAGCACCCTCCTGATGGCACCGCGGGCCCCTCAGCAGCCAACCCACCAAAGTGGTGCCCGCGATCCAATTCTCCACAAGCTTCCAATCCACTTCCTCATTCTTTCAATGGGGACCCACGCAGCAGCCCACGCAGCAGTTGTCATCACTTTCGGGAGGAAAGACCGGAAATCCTAGAAAATTGGATGCTTGGAAAGAATGGGTTTTAACCGAAAATATGACCTCATACAATACTTCCCCATTCTTTCCGGTTTTCCAATTTTCACCCAAAACAGATGCAAAAGCGAAGAAATATATAAACAGGGACACACTGATCTTTGATCGAAAGAACGATGCAGGGGGACAGAATGATGGGGTGGGGAAAGAAGGGAAATAATGATGGTTGTTGGGAAAGAACGATGGTTGGGGAAAGAACGATGGTTGGGAAAAGAACGATGGCCCTGGGGAAAGAACGATGGTTGTAGGGAAAGAACAATGCCCCGGAAAACAGAACGCTGCCAGTAAGATCGATGGCCTGCAGCGGCATGACTTTGGCAGGTCAGGGGAAGGGGTTGTCTAGTCTATTGGCCCTACCCCTAGCCCGCGGGACAACTTTCTGCATGCGTCAGTGCTCGCTGCAGAAAAAATCAAAACTGAGCCGAAACCGGCTGGAAAGACCGATCGTTGCACTGAGTGCGCGTGCGACGAAAGAATGGGGAATCAACCCTTAGAACATTGTCGAGCACCAGCAAGTTAATGGGGGAAGGCCAGAATCTCAGACCGCGCAACTCCCGTCCTGGCGCTCTGCTTGCCTCTCCAGCTCCGTCTCGTTGAGCAAGCGCTGGTCCTCAGGCACAAACGAAAGGACAGCGATGCTGGGGGGAAACCACCTTGCTGCTGCTGTGTGTGAAGTTTCTCGCTTTTCTCCCCGAAAGCACCACAAAGGGATCTTTGAAGAACAAAACAAGGCAACCTGCTTGCTCGGCTCCGCGTGCACAGCGATTTACTCGTGTCTTTTTGCTGGGGGCAGGGGCTGGCGTGGGTCGGTGGCTCTCACTGTACTGTGGACTTCGCACGTAGAAGTGAAACTTGCGCCGAGGTTGCCGAGTTTGCAGCTGCAAATACCGATCTTAGTTTCAGAGGTTGCTTGTGCCCGGCAGCTAGCAAACTGGCATTTCTCACACAGATTCGAGTGGTCAAACCAGCTCGTTGGCGCAAGCAGACAGAGTCGAATGGCTGGCTCCGGGTCGCGTCTCAAAGGGATATTCGGTGTCTAGCTAGCTTTTTTTCCCCCGTTACTGTTGTGTTTGCTGCTGTTGTTGTTTGTTGTTGCCGTCATTGCTGTTGTGACTGCCGTTGTTGTTGCATGTTTCCAAAACCATACTTAGAGTAGGGGAGCGGTTAAACCATGACCAGCTCTCAAAGAGCCCCCCTGTCACTACTTCGCTGCGATGCCTCCCCTTGCTACTGCTGTATGCCACTATACTTGACCTACGGGAACCCTGACTTTTGTGTGGACATGTCTTGTAAACACTGAATTTTCGCGTTTTTAGGTTTGGGGTACGTAGGGCTTTAGTTCAGGGTTGTTAGGAAGGATTGGATTCCGGATGACGTTGTCAAGGGAAAGTAAGACTACCCCGCATAGGGGTGCCTCTCAAATGGCCCCTACAACGCTTGGTCTCCTCGTTTTTGTTTTGTTGCCAACCAAGAGGGGTCCTTGTTAAGAAGGCCCCCCACATGGCCATGTAGAGATTCAAACTTGGCCCAAGTCGACACCAAATCAAGAATCCAGATTCTTCATACTTCGTCGGCTCGGATAACCCCGAAAAAAGCCTCATGACCCAAGCCCCATACCAACCCCACAGTTGGATTCCCCACCCCCGGGTTCGCCTCCTGCCCGGCGCCATTTGGAGACCCCAAGCCCAACTTGCAGCGCCGACTTCTCGAGCTGAGCCTTCGGCGCCCACGTCCAGGTCCAAGTCCCCGTCCACGCCGAAGAGGCGCTGGAACCTGCGATACCTCGTTTTGGCACGGGACCCGTGGAACGGGACTCGTGGGGAGGGGGGTTTTCTGAAGCAGAAACAACGAGGGAAGGGGGGGGGGGCGGGACACAGGGGTTCTAAGCCAATGTTCTGACCCAATGATTCAACAAGGGCGTTAAAGTGTCCTTTGATGCTGGGGTCAAATGACCTGTCAACCAGAATTATTGGTTGAATGGGTTGACAGAATGTCCAAGGCTGTAGGGCTCATGTGCGTCCTATGATCATGTTGCGAGTTGGAGGAACGGCACCAAGCCCATTCGGTTCATCCAAGCCCCACTATAATAAGTAGGGTGAGAACCCTTCATACACCCAGCGAGCCGGATGTTGGGAGCTCCAATTTGAGTGAGATCCAGTGAGCCCTTATGGTCGCCTTTGGTTGAGCCGAATCAAAAAACATCCAGGAGGGCGAATTTTCTAACCATTCAAGCTTGTGCCCCGAGGTTTCAGGGTGATTGGGGAACCACAAAGCAGGTCAACCTACCCTTGAGCCCTCCGGGCGTCATCACTCCAAACGGCCACGAACGAAAAACCGTTCGAAAGAACCACCAAGACTGATTGAGTGTGAGAACCACTCACCCCAACATCTGTGGTCTTTTTTTTGCCATGTCCAAAATCCCAAGTACGTCCAAAAAAAGTACGGTCAAAGGGATGCCAGCCGTTTATGTCCAGGACCAACCCTCCGACTGGACCCGAACTCGGCACTCGATGGTGTCGGAGTCCGACCCGGGCTCGTTCCACATGATGGTCTCTGGCAGCTTCAACCTTGTGCCAGGTGTTCCCCGTCATATTGTGGGTGTGTATGTGTGTGTGTGTATGTGTCGTTTTTGGGGACCCCAAAATGGGCGGTGGCCTCTTGGTTTCCCTTCAAGCTTGCTACTACTCTTGGCCCACTCATTGCTGCAGGTACCGAACAGGTGACGGCGAGTGCTTTGAGGAAAGCGATCACGTTCAAAGGTTGTACCACCAGACCCCCTGGAACATACCCTTTCAGGATAAAACAAGTAAGGACAAAAAACAAAGAGCCAAACAGGGGTGAATAAGTTCCAAATAAGGCCTCGCTGTCATATTCCTTTGGGGTTTGGTCTGGGGCTGTGACACATGTTTCCCACCGATGGGAGTCTTGCCTTTCCCCCAGCGTTTCAAAACTTGTAGCGAGAAATTCGTCCTCTTTCTACAAGCAGTCGGCGGGTGTGGAGACACTTCGAAATTTCGCACCGGCCCGTTGACTTAGGGACGCGGAAAAGAGCACTTTTTTGGGGGACATCCAGCGCTTTTGGGAGGGACCCCCCCTTTGGTTGACTTCACACGAAAAAGAACAAGCACGTTTTTGGGGGTCCCCTTTGACACGAACCCAAAGCAACAGAAGTGACTCAAGGCTGGGACCAGCTCTCGCAATTCTGGGCTTCTCAGCACACACTCTCCCCTCTCTGTGACTCTGAGGAAAACTAAACCAAACATACAGGGAACAGGAAATAGGGGTCTCGGGATTTTTTGAGAGGAAGACGAACAGGACAACCGGCCAGTGTTCCTAATTGACAAGCCGATCGGAGAAAGAAAAAGCGAGCTTCCATGTCAGGTTTGACCTGGTGAACGCAAGCCATCATGCCACCTTATTGCAACTGAACATACCTTACTGTCAATTTCCTTATACCTATTAAAAGAAAAAAAACACATACTAGTCGTGTAAACCTCAAATTGCAAAACACGCCGTGCCCAAAGGCTTGTTCCCAGCTCTTGGTCAACTATCACTTATTAACACACAAGAAATATGTGCAGCGTGCACACGTTCCATGATTGGCGGCAATTGAGTGCCCAATGTGCTAGCTGATTGTCAGTCAAAATAAACTGAAACCAGCGGAACCCATCCATGTTCAACCAGCACAAGAAAAGAACACTGCTGTGGATGAAACCCCATGAATACTAGGATAAACAACCCACCAAGTGGTGCGAAAGTGATGTTGTCTATCCATGGGCTTTGTCCAAACTCCCACTGAAAACTCCGCACCGCCGGCCTCTCCGGCAAGCTTGCCAGCTGCGCGCGGCTCACGTACACCGCGTCCTGTTTGCCCCCCGTGGCTGGATAAACACGTGGGGGGCCAAGCTGGTATAGAAACAAAAGGGATCCCTTTTGTCCCATGGCGGCCACGCGATGTTAGCCGCTGGGTCAAGGGGGTGCCACCACTTCCCTGGTTTACTGAGGCAATGAGCCCACCACCCTGGAACGGTTGGCTACAATAAAACCCGACGGTAGGCGGCAAGCCTGGATCCAGCCCGAGCGAGTCGCTGCATGCGGTGGTCAGCAGAGTGGTCCCGCACCGGTCCTGAGACAGGGACGTGGCCAGGGATCCAATGCAAGTCCATTGCACGGACACACCAAAGATTTCACAAACCGCAGCTGCAGAGTTTGGCGCGGCCAAGAGGGCAAATTCGAGCCCACGCTACCACGACTGACTGAGAAGCCGGCAACGGCCAGGCTGGCTTGGAGTCCGGGTTCAAACAGCGGGGCAGGAGTAGTATCCGGCCCAGCAAAGGCCGACAAGAGGTCGGGAGGCACAGCGAGACTATGTGTGTAGAACGAGAGATTCTGCTCCTCACGTTGGGCAGGTGAAGAAGCCAACAGAACCAGGAAGGGGCCCCTCACTTAACGAGATGCGCAATGGTCTCAATCAGGAGTGTCCACCAATGCGGAAGCAACGAGCCGATCAGCAGCTCAGTCAACAACGACTGCGGGGCCACAACTTATTGACAGCAAGGCACGAGCAAACGCAGTCCACGCAGGGCAGGGAGGCGCAGCCCAGGGGGGTAAGAGCAACATCAGTTGGCCCCAGGATCTCCGCGCGTTTGCTACGGCACACGTTGGCACGCATGGGGGATTGATTGCCCCCCGCCAATTGCGAGGCAAGGCGTGGCGGAGCCCGGTGAGCCACGAAAGCCACGGCCCAACAAAGTGCCCGCAGTCCGGTCAGGCGGGTGCGAGCGAAGGCCGCAGGCCGCGAGGATCGAGGATGGGCTGCACCCGAGGGTTGGTGAAATGGGCCATGCCGAACAACCTCAGCAACTTCGGAAGGAACCCTTTTTGGGGCTCACCGTTTTTGGTGGGGCAAAACGGATTTTGTCCATCCACCGTAGGTGTCTCCCCTAGTTTAAGGGATCAACCTGATCGATCTTTGGAGGCACACGGTATATGACCAACAGCTTGGGGCTGGCCCAACGGATCCTGAGGCAACCCTTCACCGTGCTTCCTTTGGCTTTGAAAGACTCGGATGGGATACTTACACTATGCATGGCTCTTTTTTGTTTGCGTTTTACCCAAACCTTCCGGGTGAAGCAACAAGAATGGGCCATGGGGGGGGGGGGCCTTGAGCCTTCGCATAGATTTGTTTGGGGGGGAGTAAGTGGGATGCAGATCGACGTCCGGGCCCCAGGGCTAGGGACATCCGAAATTTCGTCTCCTTGCCCAGCACCGCCACCTTCACGAAGCCTGCGGGCAGCAGCAGGCTGTCGATGGCCTCAGTCTGTCGCTGGCGGTTGCTTGGGTCGGTTTGGTGTTTGCCTGCTTTGCAGGCCATGGCTTTGAAAAAAAGGACACCGAAGAGCCAAACCTGTTGCCATTTTCGGAGTTTTGTGGGGCACCTGCCTCAAGCGGTTGCTTTGTTTGTTGGTTTGGTGCTGTTCAATTAAAAAAAAGACGGAAGCTCCAAACCTGTTGGCACTTTGAAAGGTATCCTCATGTTGAGCACAAAACAGCGCGAGGTGGCGTTTGGCATTTGCCTCCTTTTGGGCCGGCAGTGCAGGGAAGACAAAAGGACCCAACCACGTTGATTCCCATATGTCTCAAAAGTGGGCTGGAACCTCCTGCAAAACGGGTTCAAGGGGAATCCAAAATAACATCGAACAGACATTACCGGGAGTCCTCCATTTTTGAGAAGCACCCAAATGGTAAACCTCAGAAGTAGAGCTAAAAAAAAGGAAACCAACATGACACCAAGAGTTCTTGAACCATATTTGTGTCTAACTCAGATACCTGTTGCTGCGTGAGCCGAATAGCAAAGCCACATTCACATAAGACATCGCTTCGCTTTCTCCACCCAACGACTGGGTTGCTCCCCAAACGAAAGGCCTTGATATCGGCACCCCCCCCCTTTAGCAGAAGACATGACCGTGACCTCTTAGGTGTTTCCTCTCCCCGTGACCTCTTCAACGCAGTGGACTCGAGCATTTCGTGAACCTGAGGAAGCAGGCCATGGAGGTTCTCCTCCGAAGTTGCCGAGGCCGCGGGTCCAAAGGGAGGGTCTAATGATCAGCGTTCTTTATATATATAATATATATATATATATGTATATATATATATATATTATTTGTTTAACTGCGAGAACCCTGACAACCGGAGACATATCTAAAGATCCTCCAAACAATGGAAATAGGGGCAACTCAGCACTTTCAGCTGGGCACGCCCATATTATCAGTATGAGGTTGCCACATCCGGAATGAGTATCATGAACAGAACTCGCCTGGTCCAGTTCCTATCGCATCAGGAATTTGCAGCTCCGTGAATGTTTGAGTTTACATAGGCCAACAAAGCGGAAGGGGACCATCATGATCCTGGCAAGGTCCGCTTGCTCACATCCAAAGTGCCCACGCGTGACCCGCTTCCAAAACACTTCACTTGAGCAGCTCACAACATCACCCAGAGATACTCATCATTTGTGCAACCCGTTTTTTGTTTTTGTTTTTGTTTTTTTGTTTTTATGGCAGGTTCACGGTTGCCCTCCCCAAATAACATTTTGGGGCACCAAGTCCGAGAAAAAAGAAACAACAAACTGAAGACTCAAAATCAGAAACTTGTTCAGTGGGTTGGTTGATTTGCTTTGGTCTCGGCAAAACTCGCCCCGGCACGCTGCACGCGCGTCCTGCTGGTTTCCACCACCAGGCAGCGGATATCCCAGACCTGGCGAGTCTAAAATGACGTGGCTTTTCTGGAGACGCGCGGTCCATTCCTTTTGAGGTTACTCAGGTCTTGGAGGTCTTGTTCCCGTTTTAAGGGCACCAATGTGTGGGAAAATGAAAAGGAAACCCATCTTTGGGAAAAGGGTTGGGAAACCCAATGTTTGTCTTTTTAGGTTGGGAAAAGGGAAACCAACAGGTAAGGAAACCCATCTTTGCCGCAAAAAAAGAATCAGACAGAACCGATCCCTTGGGGCTATTGTCTCCGGTTGGATGCGCATCAAAATAGGGGCGCCAACATACTGCAGGTTTCGGTTTCCCTTCAAACCAACGCTAAAAAGGGTACTATGGGCACCCTCAAAACCACAACCACATATGTTTAGCAAATATGTGGGAATGGCAAACCATCGATCCAACCACCAAACCAAAATCAAAGTGAGTTAAGCTTGAGGTGATTGGTGTGGGTGTGTGGGTGGGTGTGGTGTTTTCATTTGCATCCTATGGGTTGGAGCCGCTTTTCGGTTCTCAGGGAATGAAAGTGCCCTGCAGGTGGGGCGCAAAGAATCAACTGTCACGTGGTCTTCGGACCAATCCTGTTTCACGAGGTCTAAAACAGGGCCAGGGTCAGCAGGTTCCCAACTTCCCCCGAACTTGCGAGGGTAGGACAGGTTAACACGAATCTGTGTCCAAGCCTCCCGCATTTAGCTACACATTTTCCTGGAAATGCTTGGGGGTGGTCGACATGGAGAAAAAAGGTCGGCTTTGGAGCCTCTCATCTACAACTCCTAAGGGTCCATACGCAGAGGAACCAATACCCAACCTTTCACATAGTAAAACCTCAGGCTGAAGGTGGTATCCCTAGAGTGTTTGCTTGTTTGTGTGTTTGTGTGTTTGTGTCTATGTGTCAGGGGGCTCCCAAACAGCAGGTGACATCCAAGAGGAAGCTGAAGCGAAACACTTGCTTGGAGGGTTGTCACCTGTTCCGACCTACGGCAGTCTTGTCATTTCGAGTATGGGGAAGGGACGCACACTAGATTGTTCTAGGCCCAAAACATGGCCCATCGAGCCCCCATCCGAGCGACCGTTCTGCAGTTCATGCGGCAGTGCAAGGCCCATGACATCTGACTCAAGGCGAACCCGCAGCCGGAGGTTTGCCAAACAGCCCCCAAAACAAATACAGGAAATCATGGGGGCTGACGGGGAAGGGGAGGGGAGGGGGAGGGAGCTCAAATCAGCCCTTATTTAGCCCTGAATCAGGCCTCCCCCCCCCCAGTCCCCCATAAGGAAAACTCGATTCAAAGGGCGGGAACGTCTGATATTCGGCGTCAGCATCCAACTTTTGCCACGCATCGAGACCAAATCGTCTCAACACGTCGCGGGTGTGAGACCTGCGCTTTTCGCATCCCTGCCAACCACAGGGGCCGAGCTCAGATCCAACTCTCGACATTCAAAGCTTGAACTGGCCATGGACGCCCATTTTTCGTTCAACAAAATGCCAGTGGCTGCTTTCTTGTTGTGTCCCTGGCTGCTTTCCCACTCCAAAAAACCGGCTCTCCGCATTTTTCAGACCCAGACCAAGTTCTCCGCTGCGTGCGCAACCGCGCTCAGATCACGAGATCCTGGCAACGCCGGCGGGTGGGCGACAGATCGGCTCCGAGGGTCACGCGGGTTCTCATGTTGATGTTCATATGAGTCAAAATCAAAACCCGAAACTAAAATGGTCGACAGAACCATGTAAAGAATTAAGAAGGCGGATATCCGCAGCTATTTCTGTACTAATTTTCATCTACCCGGGTTTTGATTGTGGGTCATGTGGGTATGACAAACCATTGGGACCTTTAAGCCTTTGGTGGACATCAAACAAAAACACGGGCCTCCGTACTCAGATTCACGGCCATGTGTGTCCCCATTTAGGCCACCTCTCTTGTTGGTTCAAACGGCCAAGAAGAGACTGGGCATGTCTAATGTGTTGAGGATGGTCCTTTTGACCCTCTTGTTCGTGATAGGAAACTTACACATTACCCAACACATGCTTGTCCAATGCGGTAGTCAACACACGAGCGTCAACACACTAGTACCAACAAGAGGAATTGGCAAAGCCAGTTGATCTGAGGCACAATTTGGATACTTTCTCGAGGGTACTCCTTCTTTGGTTGTGTTACAGGGAAACCAACAGGACACCAAGGCCATATTGGGGGTCGGGCAACCTCAAAACTGCGTGGGTGTCTCTTTCATTCCCCTCACTTTACTCACCCCAAACAGGGTTCCCTCAAAAACAGGGGGGTTTCACACCCCGTGGATTTTGAGGAATGGAATTTTCGGTGAACCCTGGCATGGGTCTCTCGACAAATTGTCGAGCCGTCTCCTGGACGCCGCAATCTCCGCTGTCGGTGGGAGAAGGCCCACCCCCCACCGCCGGAGACGTGGCAGCAGTCAGCTGGGCCATGTCCTTCCGACGGGTCTCCGTCGCTTTCAGGCTTCGACCATTCGACGATTCGAGTCGAGGCCACTGGAAACTGACAAATGCCACACCTACTCTTGCGACAGGTAGGGAGTGTGGTTCAATGAACCCAGGCTTTGGCCTGAAAGGAAACTGGTGTAGGAGTAGAGTCTCTGGTCGTTTTGGAGCGTTCCTGTGTGAGCAACTTTCGAAACCTCTTGTATAGCCAAAGGACATTGGGAAGAGGTCATCATTTATTGAAGCCCTATCGTTTACGGTGTTTTGCGACTTTCACCGTTTCACGTGAAATCGAAGTACAGTTTACAAGTCACAACTTTCATTACAAGTGTAGTAAAGGAAGTGCACTTTGGCAGCTCCGCTCACAGACAGTACACTTTGGCAGCTCCGGCTCGAAAGTCGCAACTTTTCAGTGCAAGTTTGGCAGCTCCGGCTCGAAAGTCGCAACTTTTCAGTACAAGTGTAGTGAAGGAACTACACTTTGGCAGCTGGCTCGAAAGTCGCAACTTTCCGGCTCGAAAGTCCTAACTTTTCAGTACAAGTGTAGTAAAGGCACTATTGGCAGCTCCGACGAAAGTCGCAACTTTTCAGTACAAGTGTAGTAAAGGAACTGCGCTTTGGCAGCTCCGGCTCGAAAGTCGCAACTTTTCAGTACAAGTGTAATATAGAAAGTGCACTTTGGCGGCTCCGGTTGAAAAATCGCAGCTGCATAGTAAAGGAAGCACTCTTTGGCAGCTCTGCCTCGGAAGTCACATCTTTTCAGTACAAGTGTAGCTTGGCAGCTCCGGCTCGAAAGTCGCAACGTTTCAGTACAAGTGTAGTAAAGGAAGTACACTTGGGCAGCTCCGGCTCGAAAGTCGCAACTTTTCAGGACAAGTGTAGTTAAAAAAGTACACTTTGGGGGCTCCGGCTGGGAAGTCGCAACTTTTGAGAATAAGTGTTAGTAAAGGAAGTACACTTTGCGGCTCCGGCTCGAAAGTCGCAACTTTACTGTACTATTACAGAAAGTACACTTTGGCAGCTCCGGCTCGATAGTAGCAACTTTTCAGTAGAGCCGGCAGAGCAGGTGGGCGGAAGTTTCTAAAGCGAAAAGAGTGCCTATAGGAAGAGCTTGGCTTGCGCTCATTTTGTTGCTCTTTCTTTTTGTCGTTCTTCTTTTCTTTCTGTCTTTCTTTCTTTCTGTCTTTCTTCTTTCTTTCTCTCTATCTCTCCTGAAGACATCTGCTCCTTGGAAGCCTGGCACGTTTTGTTCGACTTGCCTCGAGCGCTGTCTTCTCGGCGGGTAGTCACTGTCCGCCAGAGAGCTGCAAGGCTTTTAGCGAGCAGTCGACTTGGAGAACAGCAACCAAGAGAGCAGTGCCACGTGCGACGAAAGTGCAAACTTACGTCGACAGGCTGAGCTGCGAGTGCGCCAGCGTCCTGCGGCCGGAGGTGCTGCAAGCGATGTCGTTGTCGCAGTACGTTGCTCGCGTGGAGCGACGCGGCCAGAAGCAGACTTTGCGGCGGAAGAGCAACAGTGTGAAAGAGAAGCCATACTTGCACTTGGATTCTCGTCGCAGCGACGCTGCGAACATGGCACGCACGTGCTTGCGTCTGCACCGCGCTTCTGCCGCAGAAGAAGAAGATCCGCAAAACTTAGACGAGCATGCTGCTATATATAGACAGCAGCTATAGAAGCTCACAGCATGCGCGCGAGCGGCAGGCAGGCCCCGTCGTTCTCGTCGCAGCCCCGACGTTAGCCGGAGGGCGAGCATGCGACCGCAGCAGACTTGCCTTCAGCAAGTACTTGCATCGGCGGCGTGACAGTTCAGTCCGCTGTCGAGCAGTCAGGCGTGGACGCTGCAGCAAGCACACAGCACGTGCTTGCCGAGAAGCCGACAGAAGAGCATGCGCCTGCTTCTTGCTGGCCGAAGTTCTTGGAAGACGACAGTCCTTCTTTCTCTCTCTGTATTTCTTTCTTTTCTTTCTTTCTATCTCTCTCTCTCTCTCTCTTTATGTCTGTCTTTCTTTCTTTCTTTCTTTCTTACTTTCCTTCCTTCGTTATCTCTATCTTTCTTTCGTGCTTTCTTTATGTTTATTCCTTTGTCTTTCTCTTTCTTTCTTTCTTACTTTCTTTATTTCTTTGTTTCTTTCTTTCTGTCTTTCTTTCTCTCTTTCTTTCTTACTTTCTATCTAGCTATCTATCTGCACTTTCTCTTTATCTTTCTCGTTTCCTCTCTATATCTTGATTTCTTTATTTCCTTCTTCCTTTCTTTCTTTATTTCTTTCTGTCTGTCTTGCTCTCTTTCTTTCTTTCTTGCTTTGTTTCTTTCTCTCCCTCCTCTCGTTCTTTCTTTCTTTCTTTCTTTATTTTCTTTCTTTTCTTTCTTTTCTTTCTTTTCTTTCTTTTCTTTCTTTATATATTTATTTATTTCTGTCTTCTGTCTCTCTTTTTTCTTTCTTTCTTGCTTTCTTTCTATCTATCTGCACTTCCCCTTTCTCTTTGTCTCTCTCTCTTTCTTTCTTTCGTGCTTTCTTTATTTTTCTTCCTTTCTCTTTCTCTTTCT